CTTGCTACTTCTTCACTTCTATCTTTTACTATTCTTCTTCAGAATGTTCTACTTTAATCTTTCAGATATGCCTTACATTTTTTTCCCTTCAAGGTCTTGATGTATGCATCTTCTTTCTGTCTAGAATACTTTCTACTTCCCAGTTTCTTAGTCCACAAAAAGTCAACCTATTATTCAAGGCCTTGGTTTGTAAATTACCTAGTATGTATATTCTCTTGGATTATCAAAAGGAAAAGGAGGCAGTCTACAGTTAGACACACCTGGATACAAATTACAGTTTCAACAGATGAGTAATAATGGGTACATTCCTTAATAACTTTCTATTTCAGTTTTTTTACCTATAAAACTGTGATAATAGCAATTTTCTTTGAGCATAATATGAGTAAATGAATTAATTCATATCAAATTCTTAGCATGAGAATTGGCATAGTCTAAGACCTCAAAAGTGTTAGATACTATAATTACCATTGCATTTCATGAATACATCTTAATCTAAATCCAGACAATACTGATGGTCATTATAAACTGACTGCTAACTCACAGTCAGCATCATTTACCTCATTCTCTTTTCTTGCCTTCCCACCTCATGTTTGTTCCCCTAGTCTCTTCCCTTCCCTCCCGAGATTAAAAGATCCTGATGGACAAGTTCAATGTCTTATCTATAACAGTCATTCACACTCAGTAGAGAAACAATAGATTTGTTTAATCTCTAATAAAAGAATACTGAAGAGTTGACAGTAATAAAATATTTTGCTCCCTATCAAGGAAAGAATGATCAAATGCTTCACAATCACGATCATCCTGTTGTTTGTTGATTGCCTCGAGCAGGCACCAGTAACGTCTCCTTTGCCCTAGCCCTGAGATTTTAAAAAGTGCCATATTCAAGGCTCTTTCAGGGTTAGGAGAATGAGACCCATCATTGTTACTGGTATTTGTTATATTTGGTACACCAAGGGGGGTTTGCCAGACTCTGCCGTGTGGGCAGGTTACATTCGGTAGGTTGTTCAAAGTAAGAATGAGATAATCGTGGCCGCATGCTTCCGGGAGCTGGGTTTTATAGTCTCTGGGTCTTGGCCCGTTGATGGGATTACAGGGCGCAGGGTGGGACACACACACACACACGCGCGCGCGCGCGCGCGCGCCATTTGGTGGGTGTGACCCCTGCCTACTGGAAGATGGAGGATCTGGGTGGAGGATGCTCAGCCCAGATCCGAACAGGCTTGGAGATCTCAGTCCCGGGATCCACATGCCTTTGTTCCTTTGCTGGTACCGAAGACCTCCAGGTCAAATGCTTAAAATACTTAATTTTAAAACTCTTAAAATTTCCAACAAAATCTCTCCTTTCATGGTTCTCTATTCTTCTCAATTCAACTCAAACTATCCTTACAACAAGAGATGCAAATGCCAAATATATGCAGTTCAGACAGCTGTCACACACTGGAACATGTCTCTGGATGAAATGAAATAGACAATTTAAAAGGAAAGGGGGGCTGGAGAAATAGTATCGGTAGTAAGGTGCTTGCCTTATCTGGGACTAAGCTCGGTTTTAATCCTTGGTCCCCGCATATGGTTCCCTAAGCACCACTAGAAGTAACCCCTGGGCAGAGAGCCAGGACTTCACTTTGCACACCTCCCTGAGCACCACTGAGTATGGCCCCAAATCCCCAAAATAAATACAAATAAATAAATAAATAAATAAAAAGGTAACTGGCTCATTAGTCAAAACCGGTTTCCCTCTCTCTCTTTCTCTCACATGCACGTACACAAGCATACCCCAATTCCAGAATTCCTTGTGACCCAGGCCATACATATGAAACAACAAGGTTACTACATAGCACAGAAATGGAGGGGCTGGAGTGATAGTACAGCAGTAGGACATTTGACTTGCATGTGGTCGATCCAGGCTCAATCCCAAGCATCCTGTATGGTCCCCTGAGCACTGCCAGGAGTAATTCCTGAGTGCAGAGTCAGGAGTAAACCCTGAGCATCGCTGGGTGTGATGCAAAAAAAGAAAAGAAAAGGAAGGAAGGAAGGAAGGAAGGAAGGAAGGAAGGAAGGAAGGGGGGAGGGAGGGAGGGAGGGAGGGAAGGAAGGAAGGAAGGAAGGAAGGAAGGAAGGAAGGAAGGAAGGAAGGAAGGGGGGAGGGAGGGAGGGAGGGAGGGAGGTATCCTTTAGCTTAGGCAAACTAAGCTTACCATATACATAATAGCCTATGCCAAAAATGACTAATGTATCTCACAATTCTAAAACAACCAAGTTTAAGTAATTAAGTCTATCAAGTGATACAGCTTTACTATCAATGTGATAATCTGACATACAAATATTATAGCATAAACCAGTGATTCCTAAAGTAGGTGATAATGCTTCTTCTCACTGGAATTAGGCAGGAGACCAGTTGTGGCCTCTGGTGCAACTGTGAGGGGGGCACAGCTCACTTAAAGTTCTCCTGTTCACTTAAAGAACGTAGATTTAAGGATGGGCAGGGGGAGTGCAGAACTTTTTTCTGAAAGGTGGTGGCAGGTCAAATAAGTGTAGGAGTCTCTGGCATAAAATATTTTCAACAATGCCCCCGACCCAAATGTTAGGGTTTTTGGTTTATCTGCATGACTCTACTTAACCTTTGGGTGTTTTCTCAGTCAAAATCAGGCCTGGTAACATTCTCCTCAAAGAGTTCACCAGTTAGAATGAATAACAGTGGTCTAATTAGTTTTATTAGTGACTTTCCCAAAGCTAGCATAGAGCACCACCTATAACAGTGATACATTAAGGGACTAGACAGTTCAAGATTTAAGATGCATGCATCTTACCTGGGTTGGATCCCTGGCACCACAGAATCCCCTGAACACCTCTGGGGTGGCCCAGCGATTCCCTGCACTACAGTGCCCGAGCAGCACTGTATCCTCAAGCTATTGCACAGAACCACAGGTCTGGTTGGCCAAGAGTTGCCAGGTAGGGCCGGGGGGCTTCTGGACATGGTTTGGGAGACCCTATCCCATGTAAATTAAATTTTTAATTAAATTTATATCCCTATTTACTTGTTCTAGAGGCCCTTAGAATATTTTAAATACTTTGAAATGCAAAAGTGTCAAATCACAGAATCTTAAGATTTTTAGAGAGTAGCTGGAAGGATTTAAGTACCGCTCCAGAGAAGCTCCACTCCCCACTCTACCCCAACCCCACCCCAGCATCCATAGGTATGGCCCTAGAGGTTACATCTCTAAACACTAAAAGGCCCTTTCAGCATGGCCGGGTGCAATCCTGGAGGCGCCCCAGCACCACCAGTGTGGCCCTGGCAGAACCTGGCACCGCAGGGCCCTAGCAGCACCGCATCTTCAGGCTCTTGCAGTCAATAGCCAGATCCATGGAGAATCCAACGGAGTAGGCACGTGAGCACTGCTCTGAACAGCTCTCCCCCAACTAAAAGTTTGCAGGAGCCTTGTAAGTCCCCCACTGCAAAAATTATATCACCTCCTAGGCAAACCATTCCTCAAGCATTTACTTGAATACTTTCAGCAATGGGAACTCACTATGTTGCAAGGCACCCAAGTGCATTGCCCCACAATTCCTCCTCACACTCAATTAAAAGCCACTCCCCAAACTTCTACCCCAAGGGTTCTAGTTCAGCTGGGGAACAACACAAAGCAAGTTAACCTCTAAAGTACAACCACTTCTAGAATTAGGATATAGTCATCAATTTGTTTACACAATGCAAATAAATAAATAAAAAAAACAAGGGAAAAGAACGCAAACCATCATCTTACACATCACAAAATTTTGAAATTCAGGAATCTTTTGAAATCACAAAGCCAGAATATTTTCAAGATAGCAAAGCTATCCCTCAGTTATCATAGATTAATCAAAGGAACTCCATTTTTTCTCTACTGGAAGGTGTTGCAATGTTCATTGAATATCTTTTTGCAGCTTGATCCCCTAAATCCACTAACAACACAGTTTTAAAAATTACAATTATGTCAGAAGCTCGAGAGAGCTTTTTCAATTGCTCATATTTTTCATTTGGTCTATTTTTCTCTAAGACATCTGGATCATTTTAAAGATCCCATTTCGCCCCCACTGGGGCTATATATATATATATGCATATATTTTTCAAACAAATATTTTCAGAAATACAGCCTAACAGAGCAGAGTGTAAAGGAGTGGGGGTGGCGGAAAGAAGAGGGAAGGCAAAGAAGGACCCAGCAGGAAAAGGCTGGCTCCCTATTTTCCTTCTGGAAGCACGCTTCACTGGCACTGGCATTTGCAAGTAACGAGCCAGATAAACACGACACAAGAACAAGATCGATCATGGGCAATGAGTGGAAAAGCATGAACGACCGTAAGATGGAAGTGAATTGGCGCTGGTCATAGGGTAGTGCCAGATGCTTTGGGACGTCGTTGGGATGAGGTTAGACGCCCCAGAAGCCGAGACCACGGCCATCCTGAGGCGGGGGCGGGAGGAACCGGGGAGTAACTATCGTTGAGCAGTGTAGCCCGAACCGAACGGAAGCCGAGAAAGGCAGCAAATGCCCACTGAGGCAGGCACACCCCCACCCGCCCCCCAGCCTTCCTGCCAAGAGCCCGAAGACGGGTGAGCAGGGTGCCGGGACTGAACGGGTCCACGAGATGGGTGTGGGCAAGGGGCAGCGCAGGAGCCCCGATGCTTTCCCTGCAGCAGAGCAACCGAGAGCAAAGGAAGGGGGAGGGTGAATAGCCAGAATGACTCATTCCCGAAAGGAAGTGCTCAAGCCGTAGGCAGGCATGCCACAGCAGGGCTCGCGGCGAGGGCTGTGAGAGCTGGGTGCCCGGAGTGATCGGGGCACCGAGAAACCTCCCGTAGTTCCTGGAGCTCGTCTTTACGACGGCGGGTGGGGGGGTTCCAGGCAGCCTAGTGCCAAGGCCTGGGAAGCGGCGCGGCGCGTGCGCAGTGGCGCTCGGCGGGACCCGCTGAGGCGAAGCGGAGCCGCAGTGACAGAAGCCAGAGAGCGGCCGCCGGAGGGACTCACCGAGGCGCAGGGGCTGGAGGTGGTGCTGGGGGTAGGCGACCGCTGGACCGTGACCAAAGCCATCTAGGAGCTGCTGGGCTGTTCCGGGCAGGGCATTCTCATCCTGAGTGTGGGGGGGCGGGCGAGTGACGGAGCCGGGATCGGGGGGAAGGGGTGTGGGGGTAGGGAACAGGGGAACGGGGAGGAGGAGCAGGAGGAGGAGGAGGCGGCGGCGGCGGCGGCGGCGGCTGCGGGGACGACCGCAGGCTCCGCACCCACCGCCGGACTCTCGCAGACTGAAGCGCCGAGCGGGCGGCTGGCGGGCGGGCTGGCGGTTCAGCAGCTGCGGGGCACAATGAGCGCTCCCAGTGCGCAGGCGCCACCTGTCAGCAACCGCCTCTCCTCTCGGCGCGCGCCGCCGCCTCGCCGTAACCCTTGAGTTGCCGGAAGCGGGCGGGGTGTGTGCTCCGGCCACCGCCCCCTCGTCGGTTTCCTCCCCGCCCGCGGCCTCGCGCGCCGTGGCCTTCGCGCGGGGACCCGGGTGCTCGGGTTGGGGTGGGGGGAACGAGGGGACGGAGGGCTGCTGGGGGGGTCACCACTCCTGAGAGACAACCATTTTACGAGGTGGGGCGCCGAGCTTCACCCACCTCAGCGGCGAGCGACTGAGGTGTAAATGCCGAGGCCCGGGCGTTCTCTGGTGGGCGCGGGCGCCGCGGGCTTCCATTCGCTCTCCCCGAGCGGGACTTCCTGGCCCCCAGCCCTCGTGGCGCGACCAGGAAATAGATTCCCCCTTTGGCCTGGCTCTCGGGGCGGGGGCGGCTTTTTCTGATTCAGCCCCAACGTAGGCTGGGGGCTAAGACTTTCTGGGCTGGAGACGTTGAAGCTTAGACCCTGGAGTGCGTCCTTGCCCCCCCCCCCCCCCCCCCCGGTCCTTGAGATGAAAAGGGGCGGAGTGGGACTGAACGAGGGACCCGCGGGGGCGCTCGACCTCCCACTCGCGTCCCGCCGTGAAGACCGTCTCCCCCTTCAGCTGTAGCTGCGAGGTGACTTCTCGTTGGACTCTGGATTCCAGCCTTTCGATGGAATATTTTTAGGAAGTCTTTTTTTTTTTTCCTCAAAGATAACCTCGCCGCCGATTGCAAACCAAGCGTGTCGTCGAAACGTCCCGAAGCAAACGGGGAAAGCGTGGCCCTGGGCAAAACGCCGTCGGCTGTTTACATAGAGAGAGCGGGTGGCCCACGTTTTCTCCCCATTTCAGTGGCCGTGGTGGCCCGTGCCACCAGACGTGCCACAGCGAAGCCGTAGAAAGCGTACACGCGGGGGTCTGCAAAGTCCGGAAACCCACCTTCTCTCCACCCCTCGGCGCTCCTTCTTTAAAGCTGACAGGGCTGTCATGAGCTTTCTGGCTCCTGTATGGTTAATTGCCACTAGAGCCCTCTGCGCCGAGCCTTTGTTCTCTCCCTGGGGCCCTGCGGTTGAAATAATTAGCTGGGAGGTTCCATCAAGAATCCGACACTGAGGGTCCCTGTGTGTACAGCCCCATGTGGAAGGGACGGCCGAGAAGGCTGCTGGAAGGCTTTTGCCCCCTGGTGGTGGTGAAACGTGCCTGCGGGACAAAATTGAACAAAGATATGGTGCCCAGATTGAACAATTTGTGTTTTTCCCAGAGCTGCTGTGGTAAACAGGAAAAGAAAAGTTGAGAAAAACTTTGAACCATTACTTAAGAAGCTAAACAGGAAGCTATATACATAGCCAAGAGGAAAAATAAATGGAAAAGTTTATAAACCGAAGGATCACTTTAGAAAAAATAAATTCAATTAAATCATCGTTCTAGGAAAAATTTTATTCAAATCAATAAGATACATGTTGGTTTCGTTACTGATTCAGGGATAACAGCTTTATCTTGAAACTGCACGACAAATTCTTTAAAAAAGAACATTCTTTTGGAAGATGATTTAATCCACCTAATCTTGGAGTGGCGATCAGAAGATCTGACTTCTAGTTTCAACTCTTTAAAACTTTAATCAAATGACTTTTTGAGTTTTATTTTGTTCTTAAAGGATTCCTTTGATCGAATGGGATAATGTATGGAAAATACAATATAAACTTTAAAGCCCTGTGTCTAATTAGGTTAATTTTTTATTCTTAATGGTTTGTTCCAAATTCAGCTTTTGCTGAATGAACCCTATGCACAGAAAATAGTATCAAACAAAAAGAGGACAAAAAACAGACACAAGTCATGACTTCTTGACAGTTGGCAAAGTAGGTTACTGGTCAGGATCTCTCCTTTGCAGAACAGAACATTTCTGTTCAGCATATGAACTTATGATAAAATCCTGGTCAAAACTATGATTATAAGGTAACACATTAAGTTTATCTGAGGAAGTTAAAGTATTGATTAATAAGGGAAATATCTCTTCCCTGGAATGTAACTTTTTAAGGAAACTAAGCAATTATTGCTGTATACTCAATGAGTTATTCATCGAGAAAAGTTTGTATTACAAATACTAGAAACTTATTTCAGAAACAAAAGTATCTCTCAGTGACTGGGACAATAGTACAGTGGGTAGAGCACTTACCTTGCATATGGCCTCCTGGCTTCCATTCCTGGCATCACAGATGATTTTCCCCAGCCTCACCAAGAGTGATGCCTGAGCACAGATTGAGGAGTAAGTGCTGAGCACTGTCTGAGTGGCCCCAAAACTATTTTTTTAATCTCTCGAGGTTATTGTCTATTAACCAGGAGTAAATATACAAAATAATGACAGTTGAATTTAGTGTTACCTACTGTGACTTCACTCTCCTCTACTAAGCCCCACAAAATATTCAAAGATATAGGACATGTCTGTATATCTACTAAGAGCTTAAGAAACAGAGATCTGGGCATATATGCCCTTCATGATATTTACCATTCAGTGGATGGCATATCCCAAAATAGGCACTTTGTGAACTGAACTGGATCACATGTGAGCATTTGATATCTGCTCTCTGCCTCATTTTTAGCTACTTGTACCTCTGTTCCACCGTGGCTCCTTTTTGGATTTTAGGTGATCTGAGGAAGGAGCTTTATTAGAAGGTCCGATAAGTCACTGTCACTGTCCTCCCATTGTTCATCGATTTGCTCGAGCGGGCCCAGTAACATCTCCATTGGAGACTTTGTTATTACTGTGTTTGGCATATCGAATACATCATGGGTAGCTTGCCAGGCTCTGCCGTGCGGGCGAGATACTCTCGGTAGCTTGCCGGGCTCTCCGAGAGGGGCGAAGGAATCGAACTCGGGTCGGCCATGTTGGCTGCGTGCAAGGCAAACGCCCTACCACTGTGCTATCGCTCCAGCCCTAGAAGGTCCGAGAATTCTCTTAATAAGGATAAAGACCAGTGTAGCTGGAGGCTGCTGAGACTTATGCTAACCCAGCCAGTTCTAGTCACAGTTTCCTCATATTCCTGATCTCTGAGCAATGCTAAGCTTATCACCCTGGGTGAGAAACCGCAGCTGGGCATTGAAGTGAGGAGATCATGTTCACCAAGGCCACCTGCGGAAACAGGTGTTTTTCCTAGCTTTGAAGTAATAGAGTTAAAGGTAACACTAACTTTGCTTTCACCTCTGCTTTTGTAAGCCTGCTTGTTCAGGGAATGAAAAGGAAAACGAACTCTCATTTGGGGCTCAGCACTTTAGGTGTGAATCCTGCCTGGCCCATGCTGCTGCATTTCCTGAAGCCCTTGGGGTGCTGAAACTGTGTTGGAGATTCCCACTATATGAGAACAGATTCCCAAAGAGGGAGACAAAAGAGACAGAAATCTTACTTTTATTTATAAAATAATAAATTGAGGTAAATTGTCACAATTGAGATCTAGTTGGTACCATCCATTGGAGTTCATTTAGTCTCTAGCTTTATCACTTTTTTTTTTTAGGGCAAAATAATAGAAGAACTTTCGAAATTTCTGCTTCTTAAACTTTAAGAACCAAATGAAACTACTCTAATTCTTTTTAGAAAAATACATTTTTCACATACTCAATGAAATCTATCAGAGGGCTCCAAGACTCCTAAATTATGGAGAGATATTTATTACAGGATTTAAAGTACTTCTTTCATGTAACAAGCTGGTTCAGTTCTTCCCACTGAAATTGGATCTATGAGCACTGTTTGGAGTGACCCTTAAGCATAGAGACAGTGGAGCCAAATTGCTATCATCACCACTCAAGAAAATAAATTAAAAATAACCTTTTTTAAAAAAAAAGGCGTGGGAGGGGGGATGCAGAGTGATAGTACAGTAGGGAGGGCATTTGCCTTGCATGCACCTAAGCCGTTCATCCTACTCCTTTGCCTTGTGATCAAGGTTCTATCCCTGGCATCTCATATTGATCCTATGAGCCCTCCAAGAGTGATCCCTGAGCGCAGATCCAGAAGTAAGCCCTGACCACTATTGGAGGTGACTCCCAAAACAAAAGCAAAAAATAAAAAAGGAAGCAGCAGCAGCAGCTTGGTCTAGAGACTGGCAAGGGAGTTGAAAGAGTAAAGCACATGTTTTGCATGCATGAGACCCTGAATTCTATTAGCAGCAACACGGTCATATCAGCCCCCACAAAACCACTATAATCTTGTGTTCTCCAGAGCATCACAAGGTATGTTCCACACCCAGGACTGCCGGTTGAGCAACAAATTGTCAGACCAAACTATCACTTGGAGTAGACTTCTAGTCTGAAAGTGCCACTGGGGAGGCCACCATTAAAAAAATAAGAGGGAGAGATTGGCGATATGGCTCAAAAGGCTGGAGTTCATGCAGACAGGAGCCCTGGGTTTGATCCTCTATACTACAGAGTCCCTAAGCACTGCCCCCCGCCCAAAAAATGTGAAAATCTTAATCTAAAGGTTAAATTACTTCTCAACCTTTTTTCATATAATCATGTCTAGAGAAATGATATTTATACAGCACACTGGGATAAATTAAAGGGAATTTGATGACAACATTACAGAATTTGAAGAAAAAATTATGATACAGTTGTGAGAAAAATAAACACTAGGATATTAAATATTGAATTTGTGTAAGTTTCCAAATAAAATCTTCTCAAACTTCATAAAAATACGAGATTATTTCTGGAAGCATAAAATTTACATGTAGGTATTTATGATTAAAATGACTGCGTGCACTATTTACTTAGCCAGAATCTGGAAAAAAATCCGAGTGCCTGAGAACAGATGACTGGTTAAAGAAACTTCGGTACATATACACAATAGAATACTATGCAGCTGTTACGCAAAAGAAGAGAGAGAGAACAAGGGGGAATGCCCTGCCACAGAGGCAGGTGGGACGGGGGGGGGGGGGGGGGGATGAGGGGGGAGGGATGCTGGGATCCGTGGT